GGGGGTGCCCAGCCTGCAGCGTGTAAGCCACACGCGGCTCTTTTCCCCCAAAAGTGCAGCTTGCAAAGCTGCTCCTGCGCTCACCGGGGCGGCGATTCAAAATGGCGCCCAAGATGGCAGCCATCGACAGGAGCCTGATATGGCCAGAAAGCCTAAGCTTGTTTCTTAAATGGGCCGCCTCCTATTTTAAACAATTCTGAGGGGCTTTCTTCCTCCTCCCGCCCCCTGCGCCCCGTGACAATTCTGGTGCAGCTCTTAGCATTTTTTTCTGCCACTGTTTCTGCTCTCTTTGTTAAATGGGTTGGCCACCCCTGCTGCAAGCACTTGCACAGACGAGCACCATCCCAGAGAGGCAGGATGTGATGTGGTGTGGACAAGGGCCTAGGTTAAGAGGACTGTGTGCATGGGGAGCAGATGAAGCACTGTTCCCCTGTAGGAGCACAGGTTCAATTCAGCTGCACAGTGCAATGTAGCTCATTGGTCTCTGCTGAATGAGCTGGTTTCTATTTCTAGCAGGCAGGTGTCTGCTCACAGAAAACAGCAGAGAAATTAGAACCAAGTCTAGGGGGTTGATCTCCACCTGCTGCCTCTGTTAGCCTGCAGTGTTCAGAGGGTTGGCCTGCATGGCTAAAGAGCTAATGTCCCTCTCCAGGGCAGTGGATGGAGCACCCTGCAGCATTGCTGTAATGCCAAGTGGGGAGGGAGGAATTAACAGGACTGATCCTTTCCCCACAGTTGGCAAGTGTATCCCCCTGCTCCCTGGGGTTCCTAGAGTAGTTGTAATGAAAACACACACTGTTCTAGTTTTGCTGCTCTAAACCAGGCTTCTCACACAGACCTCCCTCTCAGGGTGTATGTGGAGGAATTTGGTGCTAGCAAGCACCAAGCAGCCATCCAGGTGTGTTCCAAAGCACAGCTAACAGCAGGCTGCTCTTTAATTGCTCCATATTTGAACTTAGTTATCCTGTGTGCTATGGTCTTGTGCTGGTAAGGCTGGGCTTGGGGAGAATGGGCGTGGGGGACTTGAATATTCACATTCCATTGAACAGTACCTGTATCCTTAGAATTCTACTGAGCCTTAGTCTGGGGAATCCTGCCTCATTGTTACCGTAGGGAAGCAGGTGTCGAGTAGCTGCGTGGTGGCTTCTATTCGTGGCTTTTACACTTATTTGCTCTGTGTCACTGAGCAGGTAGCAGGGTGCCTGATTGTGCCACCTTTTGGTGATCCTCGATAGCTAGAACTATGGACACAATCCCATTGGCTTTAACAGGATGCTGTGTGCACGGGCAAGGAGGTACTGCTGGGGCCCTGTGTCAGTCTTCCTCCCTGTATCTGTAAAGTAGGAATGATGGTTAATTTTTCATCTGTATAACCCTGAGATCTCTGCTGGGTCAGTTTGAATGACTTGCTTTAATGAGCTCTGATCGCCTGTCAACATCCTCTTATCACCTGCTGCTTAAACAAGGCAGATCTACCCAGGAATGTATTGCCAGCTACTCTGAATCTCACTCACCTGTAACTTAACGAGTAAGAGTCACTTGGTGGGTGTAATTCCACTGAGTGTGGTGACAAGGGGCAGTGCTTGTCGCCTGAATCCAGGATAAAATTGTAATTTTGATCCCTTAAGCTTGGATCCATATCCTCCCTGTGCCCCCAAATTCATTCTGGTGGCCCATGTAAATTTCCTTCTTGTTCCCAAAAGGTTGCCCAACAGCTGTGCCCAGCCAGTGATTGCTCACTCTGATCTTCCCCTGCCCAGATCTCACTTCCTCAGGGTGACTCTTGGGATGGGCTCTCAGCACCCCATTTGTTTGAGAGGGTCTCCTTGCAGATCACGTTTTCAGCTGACTTCGGCTCTGCCTCGTCCCCAGAGGATAGTCAAGGGACTGAATCTGCTCAAGCAGAGGAAATAGTTAAACATTAAGGGAGGGGGGGTGTGCCACTTACAGAAGAACATGCCATCCTCAGTGGGCCAATGGGAAGACAGACTAGATCTCACGGGGCTGCATGTCCTGTTTCAGATGTCTCTGCTAATTGCCACACTCCTGCTCAAGGGTTACTAGAAGTCAGCCTCCAGACTGGGTGCAGCCTGTGAGTGGTGGCTGGGGGCGGGAGGAAGGCTGAGCTGCTCTCCTGACTTTAGTTACACAAGCCACACACATGGCTCTACTCCCAGACACCCAAGAAGAGGAGAGATCTGCTCAGCAGGCATCCGAAATGTACCCTTGTTTGTAACCTTGTAGCACTCCCTTGCAGTACCGCATAGGGGGCCCCTCCACAGTGGGAATGTGTTTCCTCCTGTAGCTTTGGATCTGCGTAAAAGTTTATGGAAACTGAATGACTCAATGTGTGACTGATGCAATGGGAGGGAAGAGGAACAGCTGAAGGGTTCTGTGCTTTCCACTGCTTCCTGGCCTCGTCATCACACTGGCCTGCTCCCTCCCACCACCTGGAAATGACCCATTCAGGGAAAAATGTGTGTGTCGGGCCATGTATTTTTCCCTTCTCTTGTTCCCCCCACGTGGCTGCTATACAATGTGTTTGGGTGCCGTGTTTCTCTCTCACCCCAGGCATTTAAATTTAACTCCATGCCTTGCCATCTCAATCAGGAGAGGAAAGAGACCACTTACCAAATCCTGACCCTCTCTGACTCCTCGTGGATTGTAAAGGAGGCAGCGACTGTCAATCCGTTTGTACAAAACCTAACCCAGAGTCCAAGTCTGATTAGAGTCTCTAGGTCTTTCCATAGGCATGTGTTAGGCTCCATTTCCCCATGGGATTGATTTAGTCCTAGCTGCAACACTTGGGGGAAGAAGGTTGCTTTACTTTTTGAAAGAAGAAATTGCGTCTTTCCCCTGTTATTGGGTGGAAAATGGGAAGCAGGT